CATTTACAAATCAATTATTAATTAAGTCTGATTTTTAAGGAGGCAGATCACTGATGAAGTGTCAGCACAGTTTGAGAGACACAAAATAGCATTGTTGAACCTGCCTTTGATTTCCAAATAGCTATTAAATGAAAATGTGTCATATCTCTGTATGGTGTGCAGGGTGCCTGCAGATCACACAGAAAGGATTCCAGTAAAGACCTAAGACAGGAAACAGATAAGACATGCAACTGGCCCTTCGGTTGATTCATCTACTGTTTGCCGAGGCCTCAACAGAAAAGGTCTCAGTGGAAAGGTGGCTGTCAAGAAGCCCTTAATGAGGAAGTGAAACAGAGATAAAAGGTTGAGGTATGCCAAGTTACACAAGAACTGGACTGAAAATCATTTCCAGTAAGTCTTATGAAGTGATGAATATAAATTTGAAATATTTTGTTCAAAATCATCATCAGTATGTACAGAAGAGGTCAGGAGAGAAGCAACATGGAGAGTCTACAACCATCTATAACATACAGTGAAGGCTGTGCTGTGGTTTGGAGCTGCATATCAACCAGTGACGTTGGGGATTTTCTCCAAATTGATGGAATTATGAACACAGAGTTTGATTCACCATGCAATAAATCTTTCAGATCGGCAGTGGTTTCATTTTTCAGCTTGAAACTGATCTCAGTTTGTGCAGTAGAAGCATTACTGAAGCAGTGTGGGACCGTGTTGACAGAGAAGGGAACAAAAGGAGCCAATATCCAAAAAAAGAGCTTTGAATGTTCTTCATGAAGTAAGGTAAAAGTAATACAAGTAATAAATACTTTCCCAATCAGTGTTTGGTGGTAAATCTCACAGGTACGTGCATCATTGTTTAATTATAAAAAGGAAAAAAAATGTCAGCTGTCAATCCAAACAGGCCTGGAAGTGATGAAATAGCTACCAGAGGCAGAATCACTGAAGGTATCATAGTCGTTAGTTTATAAATGTACATATGTCACACTGACACCCACCCAGAAAAGATAAAAAACCCTGAAAATCTTTAGACTTGACTGACCAAAGCTGATTATCTGGCAGGGCCACTTATCCAGGGCAGAGTGGGTAGCAGCCTAAGCAAAGAAGGAGATCCAAATGCTAACCTCTACTCTGAGTCTCTTGAATGACTCAACTCCTCGTTTCCACCATATCCCCAGCTGCCCAATTAGATCCTTTAAGTATAATTTCTATTTTTCTACACAAGGTATGTCTGACTAAATAAATCAAAGGTACTGCAGGAAGCAACTTCAGCACAGTAGTTCCTTGAAAAGTTATTTACTTTTTGGCTCCTGATTCTATTTGTATAAAGTGTTGCCAGAAATGCTGCATGAGCTCCTGCACAAGGACAACTTCATGCAGCTGCTGCACGTGCAGCTCCACGTGTTGTGTTTTCAGCAAACATTTGCAATCAAACTGAGGTCAAGAGGAAGGAGTATTTACACATCACACACAAATATTAAGCTCACAGTTCATAAACAATATTTTTCATCTGTCATAGTCACACTAAATATGGGACACGAGTCAAAACACTTCAGTGTTATTGTTACAAACAGCTTAGAAGTGTCAGTTTGTTGATATTTTTCTCTTTTGCAGTAGAGATATTTCTAATGTCGAGCTGTTTCATTAGCATAGCGTATAAAACATGAGATACCGTCATCTCGTCCTGTTTCCAGTGGAAAGTCATCATTTCTGGGAAATACGAATTGAGATAAAGTCATTTAGTCTTAGAGTGATAACGACAGATAATAAAAGATATGCATCATTGTGGGAGGACTATCAGCACAAAGAGATTCCATGAAAAACATAATGAAATTAAAATTAATAGCTTTAAACTTTACAAGATACAGATGTAAAGATGTAAAGTAACTAAAACTGGAAACACTGAGAAAGCCTGCTTATAAAAATACATATAAAATAATAAAATAATCAGTTTGCCAATGTGTTCTCCTTAGGTTGTTCCAGAGAGTGGGTGCTCTAACATAAAAGACCTGGACATCCTTTCTCATCAGCTGGGATTGTGGGATGGCAAGCACATCCTTGGCTGAATACCTTATGTTATGACCTGGCACGTATGAGGAATAATTACAAGAGGGATAATCATAGTAATCGATAATTGTTTTGAAATGAGAGCAAGTATATATTTAAGGATGAAGGCCTTGAAGTTTCAGTTAATATATTTCTCAGTGACGTATCAAGCACTACTTCCAGGAAAGCAGCAAGAAAGATGAGAAAGACTCAGCCATTATTCCTACCAAAAATAAAGTTTTTCTAATGTAAAGGCATGTGCTTAGTTAAAATTGCTATATATTAATGACTGGCTTTGATAAAGCATGCTGAAATCCATCATCATAGACCAAGATGCTCCAGGAAGTCAGGAAGCCGTACACAAGAAACCAGCAAAAGACAAGGTTTTTGAGCTGTTTGAGAAGACTTTCACCCACATCAGGTCAGCGAGAGAGTCCTAAATCCTTTACAAGACAAATTTCTGATGACACAGTTTCCCTCATCGAAAGCCCCACCACAACCAAAACAATCTGCTGTTACCACGACAACTGCACGGTTTGCCTTCAGATGTGGGTGACAGTAGGAGTGGGAACATTTCCGTAGAGGTTACTCATACAGGAAGTTAATGTGGGACACACGGCAAACCCTGCATAGGTTTACACAGGCGCCCACTCTGACATGCTTTTTGGTCTTCGGTGTCTTTTTTCCCCTAAATGCCCAAACTCTCAATTCAGCCTCTCAAGATAAGAATTTGCCAACATGTCACCATTTTACATTTTTGTACACTGAAAGCAGTGAGTGACTCATAGGTCACTCAAGGCGTGTTATTTTGTGAGTTAAATCATGCCATTAATCTGTCATGTCTGTCACATCCTGTTTCTTTCTTGGTCAACTTCTTGCTTTGTTTCTGTTTTGTCTGCTCCTTTGACTGCATCAACTTCTCATTGCCCTTGTTATTGTGCCCTGTCTTATTTTGGTAATTGGCTTTCCCCACACATCCTTTGTTGTTTTACTTCCTGTCCGTGCCTGTTTTTCTGCTCCTTATGATCGCCTGCTCCGAACTGATTGTTTTCACCCATATTCATTAGTTCCACCTGTTCACAATTAGTTCCCTGTGTATTTATAGCTCTGTCCCTCTCTTTTATTTTTTATGAATTGTTAAGACTGTCTGGGTTCTCCTTCACTCCTGTCTTGATTTGAAACACTCCTCTGGTCTCCTGGGTTGTAAACTGTGTTAGCAACCAATGGCTTCCTTGCCAGTTTTATTCCTGCCTTCTCTTGTCTGCATTTGGGTCCTCTTTTTGAATAAAACATAATGCTTAAAGAGAAGATGGTGCCTTGAGCTAAAATTATGCTGAAAACTAGTCTAAAAATGTTACTTTAAGGCTGGACTATTTTTATTCCTCTTGTTTTAAAAACTCCCTGGAAAAGCTTTCAGTTGATCCAAAATGCTACAGTGAGAGTACAAATGGGGTCTACAAACAGAGATTTATAGCTTCTCTTTACTTGCTCCCTGTGAATTGAATTTAAAATCCTTACAGTGTACAACATCCTGAATGATCAGGTACCAACATATCTTGAGGGCCTCATACCAGAGCAAAGACTGATGTTCCAGTCTCTCCAGCTGCAGGTTTGAGTTTCTAAAAGTAGAATGGGAGGCAGACCCATCTATCAGGCCTATCTGATCAGGTGACTCTGGCCCATCCCTTAGTTATGCTAATATATGCTTTGACTTTTGGGGGGATAGAAATGGTGTCTGTTCCCTGAATCTAAACTGGGTTCTGGTTCCACAGAAGCGAGGCCTCCAAGTTCAAGGCTATCTTTCCCACTCTACCTTTAAATACCCGAGGAACCACAAATAAACCAGCACTCTGAGAGCAAAGTGCTCTGATGGGGCGATATGGTACTATAAGGTTTTTAAGTTATGATAGGGCCTGATTATTCAAGAACTGTGAGAAGGATTTTAAATTGGATCCTGGATTTAACAGGAAGCCAGTGAAGAGAAGCCAATATGAGAAAAAGAGCTCTCTCTTTCTAGTCCCTAAAGTACTCTGGCTGCAGCATCTTTGATCAACTGAAGGCTTTTCAGTGAGATTTTAGGACAAAATCATGCTAATTAACTACAATAATCCATTCCAGAAGTAGTAAATGCATAAGACAAAGCATTTATTAACATAATCAAAATACTGTTATGAAACAAAAAGCAGTGAAATCTATCTATTACTTCTTTTAAAACTGGAATCTATCTTTAATTTTTGCCTACAAACCAGTCCGCATAAGAATCACCATGACAAACTCTCTGTTTTCTTTGTTGACGTTTGTCCCCTGGCGATATTAAAATTTGAAACCCTGACAGTGTTTCCAGGTTGTATCAAACATCAGTTTCTGTTCTGCCTCAAACTGCCCTCCACCTCACGGAGAACATGATTCAAAAACCATGGTGAGGAAATCACAAACATCTCAAATAGACCGATCGGGGAAAAGATGTTGCTTTCAACCAGCTGTTGACATAAATCATGATCAGACAACTGCAATTCTCAGATACTCCAAAACAAAGCTGAGGGTTACGTAACATTTATGATTTTTTCTATAATACTAACCCTAAACACACAAATGTTTTTCAATGTTTCTAACAGCTACATGGATACTAAAAACTGTGTGTGTGTGTGTGTGTGTGTGTGTATGAACAAAAAAAACTGCAAATAAGGAGCCAAGGTATTTAATACTCAGTTAATGATGTCACTCTAAAAATATTATGCATATTACAGTGTCACTGGATATCAGATGTCCTTCAAATCAATCAGGCTGGCCATAAAGCTTTCATACTTCACTAAAATTTAAAACACTATAGAAAGCATTACAGCAGGGACATGAAAAGTGTTTTCAGTTAGATGCTTTGTACATATGACACAGTATTGACCAAACTTATCCTCGATTTGTCTGAAATTCACTAAAATGAGTGGAAAAGTCTCAGTACTTACAACACACAATGTGTCGACCACTTTGGCTCATGCAGCAGATGCAACTGAGTCCTCTGTGAGAAGCTTCCGTCAATGAAGTGACTGCAGGGGGAAAAACAGCATGCAAGGCTGTAACACATGATCCAGTATAACAGGAGACACTTAATCCAGATCCAGTCTTCAGTGGAGTACTCCCTCTTTTGTCTTTGAAATCAAAGCAAAAAACAGCAAAATTTACATCAATAAATTGGGAATTTATCTTGAGCAAGAAACACTGGTAAAGTTTGTTGGTGCTCTCGGTGGCCAACAGTAGCTGATATGTGCACGGGTCATCTGGCTCTCTGCAGGAGGTCTGTAAAGTAAAGAAGCCAAAATCAATACAGCTAATAAGCCATCAACTGAACAAAAGAGGTCAGTGGTCCCAGACAGAGAGAGATTAGAGCTGGCAGGCTGGTCTGGATACAGTGACATGAACGCCATTCATCTACATTTATTGGATTTACTGTAAAATCTTTTGTCTCCCTGACAAAAGGCAGAGATGACAGAGTTGACAGTTAAGATTTTATTAACCTGATTGCTTTTGCAGGTTTTTGAATCCCTCCCAACTTTACTGTTTTGCAAATATGGGTTACTTTATTTCTTTAAAAAAAAAACTATTGCAACTGATTTTATTAGATCTGGTGTACTGTGTATGCTGCAAAATAAGAAGCAGTCTTATTTGATGTCAAAATTAGGTTTGCATCACGCACAGACATTATATTTGCAACATTACAAACACACATATTGCAACTATGACCTAAAAAGCTTCTTGTTGGGAACCTTTTCATTCTATAAAAACAATTGATTTATGAAATTCCAGACTTCTCTTTATTACTAAGTTACATAGGATTTTAACAGCCTTTTTGTTATACCTGTACTTCACTTTAATTTCATCCTGTTAAACAAATAAAAAGTTTTATTGGACAGATTTGACGTTTGGCAATACACTACATGATAAATTATATCGAATGGATAATAAGAGAGTGGAAAAAATAACATTTTTGAAAAAATTCCAGTGTCTTATTAATCTAGAAATAAATGCATTGTGTTGTAAATATGGTAAATTAATCACATTTTAAAACATAACTAACTTACAGTATTTATACCACAGCTAGTCATGTTTAGAAACTAAGACCTTCTGCTAATTAAAAAATACAAAAACATCGTAAGCATAATAAATTGTCAAATACGGGGCTGAGAATTTGCCCCTTGTATCCAGTGGGGATTGGAAACCACCCAATGACTAAATATGCTGCTAACAATAACAGTAACAGTAGTATCATGATACGATTCCAGGACACTCAATACAGTCAAAACAAAAGTTTGCACGGATGGCTGGACGGATGGATGGACGGATGGATGGACGGACGGATGGATGGACGGACGGATGGATGGACGGACGGATGGACGGACGGACGGATGGACGGATGGGTGGGTGGACTTTAATTGACTTTTATTGGCAAATAGAAATCTATTAGGACTAAGAAATAGACATCTTCCAACAATCGAGCAGCAATTTGATGGACTCAAGGTGACAGTCATCATTTTGCTGATGCATAACTCAAGTGCACCTGACCTTCAGGACAAATAATGGCCGGAGATTCAGGAGTTTCTTCTAGAGAGAAGGTTCCATCAGTTACAGCTAGTTGTCCAGATCCTGAAGCAGCCCCAAACCATCACACTACCAACACCATGTTGTACTGTAGGTCTGATGTTATTTTCACGAAATGCTGTTAGTTTATGCCAGATGTAGCAGAACTTTTATCTCATCAATCCACAGAATATTTTCCCATTGATGCCATTTTTGCCCAGTCTCTTTCTTTTTGTTTAATGATGAACGCTGATCTTAACTAAGGGAAGTGAGGCTTGCAGTTCTTTAGATGTTGCTCTGGTCCTTCTGTCACCTCCTGGATGAGTCGCCGATGCACCGCCCGATTAACTTTGGTTGACTGTCCACTCCTGGGAATTTCACCACTATACCAGATTTCTCCATTTATGGATAATGGTTCTTACTGTGATTCACTGGAGTTCCAAAGCCTAAGAAATTACTCTGTAACCCTTTCCAGACTGTTAGATGTTGGTGATTTTGGTTACATAGTGATATACTGTAATGTGTTGTCTTTGGAGATCTTTGAGCCTACATCACTTTCTCAGACAGGTTCTTTTTATATGATTTCTTGATTCAGCAGGTCTGGCAGTAATCCCGTATTAGCGTGGTTAGTGAAATTCATCTCAACTTAAAATGTGGTTAAATGTGATAGATTTGGATAGTTTTTATTATTTAAATGCAATCATTATTTAAAAACTGCATTATTTGATTTACTCAGGTTAGCTTTGTCTAATATTAAAATTATTTTATCAGAAATGTGATTAAATATGCAATTAAAAGACCGTTTATTTAACTTAAAACATGTAACTGATGTGTTCCTGATGTCCTGCGTTAAACATTTCTTCTTTTTTGTTTCTTAGTTGAGTCAAAGGTAAAGCTGGAGGTTTAGACTGATTTCTGTTGGTCAGGACAAATAAAGGGCACTGGGAAGTACACTGTATCCTTTTAAAAACAAAAACTTGGGATAATGTACAGGTTCCAGGAGCAAACTAAGAATTTTCCTTTTTCTCTCTACTGTAAATGTGCTTCTCAGGGGTTATCTAAAGCAGATGAATAAATCTTTTTTTTAATGGGTTTCCTTTTTACATGAAATCCAAAGATGTTGAATTTTACCTCTGAGTGTAATGTTTGACTTCATATTCCTAAAAGGAAGAATTGGCCCCTTTTTCAACTTTACTTCCGTGCATTAGTCACAGGAATTGCAGTATATCCTGCTGCCATGCTTTCCAACAGACTCTATCATGGAAGCAACAATGGGAGGGCCAAGGATGGATGCAAAAACTCATCGATTATTGTTATGGTCCCCACATAGACTTTCTGTCTCTCTCTCTTCCTGTCTCTCCACATGTGAGTGTATGCCGCCTTTGTGTTTACTCGCCCACCTGATCTCTATGTGCTCATCACCTACCTGCAGTGCTACCGGAACAGCTCTCCGCCACATCCTTCCATCACTCTTCATGGTGGCGTCGTTCAGCTCACTCAGTGATAACAGTTTTCCAGTTGTTTCCAAGTTACCAGGTGCACTCTTGTACTTCAGATTCCTACAACCTCTTAAGTTTAGTCCACAGTTCGCAGTGCACATAAACACTTTAAACTGACTTCCTGTGTTTCGTCTTGCTTCAGAGTCTGCCAGTCCTAACACAGAGCAGGGAGGACATTCTAACAGAATTGTTTCCAGTACTTTTATATCAATACGTCACAAAAATGTACCTCTTTACCTCATTTAAGAAATTTCGATCAGTAGAGTTATTAGGGGGAACACGTAACAAACTTGAGTTTTGTTTAAATGTCTGACTGTTTAAATACACACTGTACATGCCCACTTGGATAGAAACTGGCTTCCAAGTTGGAGTTTTCAGCCCGAGGTCTTGATCACTTGGCCCTGCAGGCCAGCGGTCAAAGTTCTGGATGTTTAAAGTAGAACATTTTGAACAGTTTAACATGACAGTGGAGCTTGCTCTCCTGCTTACTGCAGAAATATATTGTACAAGATAGATGGTAAAGTCTGATTTAGACTTCTGCAGGGAATATTCTCGAGCTGACAATGTAAGTGGCTGATGTCATTACCATCGTTGTGGTTCCAGCTGTTAAAAACAAGTAAAATAAGTGTGTTTCTGTGTGTGTGTTTCCACTTCTATATACACTCCATCAAGTCCAAGTCATGTTGCTTGTATTATGATGATTCTCTCACTGATAGATTCAAAGCCTAGGGTGGAAAAGGTAGCTGGAAATCAACACGAGGCATAGAAAATACTAAACTGGCCAGTCACAATAGCTGCATCGGCCCAATGTCACCAAAATTTCTAATGAGCTGCACGTCAAGTTATGCTGTTTTTGGTTTTCTGTTTTTGTTTTGGGTGAAAACAGAACAGAGGTATCGGAGGTACCATTTGATTTCCAGACACTGTAAAGATAATAGTGCTGTTCATCTGAATGAAACTGACAGCATTTTTATGATTAGGACATAGCACATACTTGTGGTCTTTTTTTTTTAGGACAAGTCACTTAGTTGTCACACTTCTTCCATAATTGAAGGCCTATAACAATTACATTATCCCTAAAGGAGGACCTCGCTCTCAGATTGCAGGCTTACTGGTTCCTCTGGTTTCCAGTAGAATAGAAGGCAAGTCCTTTGGTTATCAGGCCCGTCTACTGTGGAACCAGCATCTGTAAGTTACACTGCTATAGGCTCAGTTACGTGAAAATAAAGCACAAGAAGTCTCTTCTGGAAGACTACCCATAATGCACTGAACACTTCCTGTGCTTTTCTGTGCCATTATTGCATGTCATTCGTTTTTTTTTCTATTCTGTCCTGCATTTCTCTTTTTTGTCCTGTTTGTTGTCCTTTTCTCTTTGCTTTTTACCATCACCCCCACGCATGTCGCATCATATGCCTCATCTCCCTGAGCATCTGTAGAGGTCACTTCCTGTTAAAAGGGAGCTCATCCTCCCCACAGTCACCAAGTGCTAGCTCATACCAGATGGTCTGACTGTTGGAGTTCTCTTTCTTATAATATGAGCATCTTGGGACAACCGTTGTGATGTTTTGGTATTGAAATAAAATAGAATTGAATTGAACGTAAAATGGGGAAAAAAGGAGGAAGGTTTGGCAAAAGTGGTGGACAAATTAAATGCACAAGAGTGACATTCTTAATATGTGGTGCAAAGAGACGCTGCTGCAGATATTTGCTGGCAGTCTAGTAAGTATGATTAGTGTTGGATAGCAAATAGTTTGCCCATTGTAACTGGGTTTTATTCATTGACAAAGCAGCATGGTACATTAGCTTTCTCAGCAGTGTGAGTTCACCATGACCACACGCCGGGATTCTCCCTGCCTGAGAGAAAAATCATGGAAACGCATAAACAGTTTGTGTTGAGCCAGCTGTCTTTTAACTGATGTTGCCATAAGCTAATCTTGGGAACAACTGGAAACTTTGAATGCATCATTTGAGATGATGTCCATTGTTAGGTCGTTCCACAAAATAACCTTTAAGCCAGTA